AGTGCTTGTATGGGATGGTTCAGAGACTTGACGCGTTACGAAAGGGATTTCCAACAAACTATAGATATTCATCAACAACTGCCCACTCTGGCTCGTTATTGAAGCTCAGATCAGATGGCCATAATAATGAGAATAAACAAGGAGGAACTGTGTTAATGAACCCACCAAGAACCTTCCGCTCAGCAAATATGCAGAAGGAAGTGGAATTGGGGATGGATTGGGCATACGCTGAGAAGACCATTTGCGGACATCACGCACCAGGCCGTCGAGTGGAACCCAGATAGGAGATGGCGGGTTGGGCGTCCGAGGTGAGGATGATATGGAAGAGATGATGTGAGCAAGAAATGAGAGGTTGTGGGCAGTCGTGGAGCCAGGTTCAAAAGTTAGCAGAGAACAGAGTGGAATGGCCACGCGCTACTGAAGGAACCCAAGGGACAAATAATAATGTAATAATAATAATAATAATACCTGACCATGCAGAGCGTCTTGATTCGACTACTGATGTCTGGAAAGGGTGTAAAGAATGAATAATACTGAAATATATCTTGATAAATTCAACACCTACGATCAACTATTTACTAGTTGCAGGGAAGTTTGAATTCAAGTTAAGCCTTTCAACATTGACACATTTCCCCCATTGATAAGAGGCTGAAGTCTATTTACATTGTTGTGAAGTTTTGTACAAGATGATGAATGTTATAATGCCTCATTTTAGACACTAATCGTGTTTTTTCGTTTGTTTTTTATATGATACTAAATTACTGTTTATCTTATGCAAGAGTCCATGTTGCAGATTTAAACTAGCTAACTTTTTTAACATGGTCAGCAGAAAAATAGGATATCCTATATCAGAAATTGTGTTCCTGACTGATCGCCAATTGAAAGACCATAACAAAGGCTCAATTGATGAAGATTTTGTTGAATTTCTGAGACGATATCAGAATCTGCTATTTATTGTTCCTATTCTTGAGACAGATAAACTGATGAGAAAGGAACCAGTGAGAAGTTTAGTCTAAATTACTCATAGAGCGAAAGAATCTGTAGTCTATAGTATCGAAGATGTCTCATACTTTACTGAAGAAAGCCAACTTTGAAATACTCAAACAAGGCGCACTAAATCTTCTAAGTTCTGTACTACTATAAAATTAGGATTCTCTTATCCTAAATGGAACTGGATCGGTTTATCAGTCAGAAAAAACGCATAAAAATCCTGACATGTTGGAAGCTAATTTAGACACAAAACTCAACTGTAACAGCAAGGAAACTCGTTTTCCATTATTAAATCCTTGCCAAAGACCAGTTGGAGTCATAGCTAATCTATAGCAACTCAGTTAGTTGTTAATGTCTATGAGAGTTTGATTCTAAGAGAAGAAAGTCTAGTTGATTTATATTTTATTCAGCAAATTTCGAGAACCAACCTCGCCTGGTTAACTTGTTCACTAGTTACTAGCCGGTCCTAAGCCTGGGTAAAGAGGGAAGGTTGGACATAGGGCTAGCAACCCTACCACTACCCCATAGAACCAATCCAACTGCTACAGAAACTTAAAAGCACAAACAAAATATAAAAAATAAAAACAAACTTATTCCTCGCTGGAATCGGGAAGACGAAATGACGCTGGTTGGTGCAGCCTTCGGGAAGCCAATTGGTCGATGTATCTCGTCTTCTCTTGATGAAAGCGAAAGTAAACGTGGAAACATGGAATGTCCTTACGATGTCTGAACCCAGTAAGGCAGCCCAGATTGAAAACGAGATGATAAGGTATCACATTGAAGTGCTTGGAATTCGCGAAAGCAGATGGAATGTGAGTGGACTCTCCAAACTGTCAACTGGAGAATCAATAATCTACTCCGGTCACCCAGGTGACAACCAAGAGAACACTGAGTTATGGAGTGGCTATCATGATGTCCACAACACCGTCGAAGGCTCTCGTACAGTAGGAACCAATCTCATCTTCCAGCATCAGGATCATGACGGCAAGGTTCAACTCAAAAGGAAGGAAGGTCACAATCATACAATGCTATGCACCTACAAACAATGCAGAGCAAGAGAAAAGGGAGGAATTCTACAGATAACTGCAATCAACACCTGACAAGACTGCACCTCAGGTGAGGACATCAAAATTCTAATTGGTTTAGTGACATGAATGCCAAACTGGGAGGGGACAACACAGGTAGAGAACTAACCATGGGTCGAGAAGCGCTCATTGAAATGAACGAGAGTAGAAAATTGCTTGTAGAATTCTGTGCACTCAACGGTTTGGTGATTGAAGTCAAGCAGTGTGTTCAAACACAAGGATATCCACAAAGCGACATGGATTTCACCAGATGGACGCAGTACACTACAAATCAGATCGACTACATCTCAATCTGAAGAAAGTGGAGAAGCAGCCTAGTTGACAGAAGGTCAAGAAGAGGAGCAGATGTAGGTTCAGACCATTATCAAGTGCAAGAAACCCACCTTCCAAATCAAGTTAAAAGCCTTCAAGGAAGTCGATGATAGACCACAGTCGAAGTTCAACAACCACCTAGAACACAAACTGATGGATGAAACTACAAAGGAAATCTTCACTTCAGCCATCAAGACAAAATGGGAGATATCGAGCACCATCCCTGAAGAAACCTGTGTGGGAGAACACTGAAAGTGTTTGAAAGAGATGTAGAAAGAAACTTGCACAACCGTATTAGGAAGGAAGAAGAAAGAAGATAAGGAATGGAATGGATCTGCATGGATACATGGAAGCTGATAGAGGAGGGAGAGGAGGATGGTGAAGCAGAAGATAAACCAATGCAAGGATGCTCAACGACGAGAAGGGGAACTGAGTACAATGTATAAAACATTACACTGGACAAGGAAGTGACGAAGAGTGCATGGAAAGACAAACGACACTTCCACGACACACTAACAAGTGAAGCAGAACAGGCTGCAGGTAGGAGAGACAGAGAACTGACAACATTGTATATATATATATATATATATATATATATATATATATATATATATGTATATATATATACATATATATATATATATGTATATATATATATATATATACATATATATATATATATATATATATATATATATATATATACCAATATGCCATCACAGGCAAATAAATTTAGTGGATACTAATAAGAATTTCAAGCCGTTAAGAAAGTCAGTGAGGAGTTGCTTACTCAGAAGACGCTAATAATTCAAGTATGCACGCACAAACATACATACACACACACACACACACACAAGGAAATATACAGCGAAAATAACGCATAGTCAACAATAAATGAAAAATATTTTTCTTGTTGGTAAAAAAAAAGTAGGTCATAATTTTTGAAACTTGAGATTTTATAGAATTTTAAAATCTGGAAGGAATGAGTCTCTTTAAGTATTTCTGAAATTAAATATCAAGAACAAAGAAGGAAGAGATTTTCAGGCCATTTTCTCATTTCCTTTTTAATTTGTTTGTTAGTTACCATCAACTATCAAAGAAAGAAACATTAAGAAATTACAGAAAAAGTGTCTCATATAGTGATTATAGATAAATGATTCTTCGTTGGATCGCATGCTGTTTGTTTTGAAATTGGAAAACTGCTAATCATACTGAAATTAGTTATTGCATGAATGATTATACGATCTATGGTATAATTATGCTTCAATGGGTAGTTGAAGGGTAAGCTAAAATCAATATAGTGGTAAATATACTGGAGGAATATTGAAAACCAGGGAGCACTAGGCATATATTTCGTCCTAGTATGCCAGACCTCCGCAGTGAGCACTCACCATCGTAACTCATGATGGGGTTGAACGTAGGACCTTCAGATTCCGCGACCAGCCCGTTACCATTCAGCCACTGGGTCGGAATCCACTGATCCATATTTCAAACTTCTGTCAGTTCACGATATAACGCGATTATCACTCAATGTCATGGCCATTAGGCATGTTCCACGGATCATGTTTTGTCGTTGCAACTTCAGAAATAACCTCTCGAAGTTTCAATAAGACGTTGTGACCAGTGGGGCAAATCTGGTGACTATGAGGACAAATATTCAACGATGACATTGGGTGATGATCGCGCTTTGTTGTGAACTGACAGAAATTGGAATCTGAAGGTCCTGTGTTCGACCCCTGATGGGTCAGGGTAGTGGGTGAGCACAGTTGTGGAGTGCTTCCAGGTTTCCAATGTTCTTCTAAGGGATATCATTCCAAAATAAATATCAACTTGAAATCAATAAATTCATACAAACCCCCAAATTGAAATACGTCTTAGCTATCTTTGAAACAGGATGACCAATGCTTATCCCATGAACGTCTGAATGACACTGGAATAATAACACAGTCAGAAATGATCTGAACATAAACAATAACAGCTGATTTGTGTAGTAATGATGGGTATTGGGTAGCACTGGAATCCAGGATGTGCATTTCGTCCTATTTGGGACTCGTCCACTGAATGTACCTGCCTCTCAATGAGTGACGTTGTTCCCCCCAAGGACTCGAACTCGGGAGTGATCGCTTTAAACGCAAGAGTGTTATCCACTACACCACCGAGCGACAGGTGTTGTATTAGTCTTATTGCTGATCAATTCGGTCCAACCAACGACGGTGTAATACAAGCAATAACACTAATAAAAGTCGATTTGAAAGAATTATTTCAACTGCATAGATCCTGGGGATACAATGGAATAAAAACTCAGAAAGACTTTTGAGTAAGTGGACTGTCTAAAATAGTGTTGATCGGCAGACTGATTTTCATATATAAGGAAAATTATTGAATCGGAATGAAATTCCGATAAGTTTCAGTATACCAATTCAGCCATTTACAAACTTAGCTGGGATATGACAGTTATGAATCACACCTCATTGCCAATTCAGACGGGTGAGTAATGCAAAGGCTATCCTTCAAAATCTCTCAAACAGCTAAATTATATAACAAAATAGATCATCTTCCTAAATATATAAGCGTCAAGGTTTTCAGGTAATGATACTTATCTAAGTATTTCAAATGAACATCCTGGAAACAACTTTCAAAGTGAGTATTGATGAGTGGGAAGACAGAAATTGACTCACAAGGCCAATTTCTTTTCTGTTAACTCATTAAAAAACTCAAAGTGAAAATCATTCGATTGTAAAAATTGAATTATACAGCTAAAATCATCCTTCTACAATAAAAGTCAGACATTCATTGGTGTTATACAATCGATAGATGCAATCAACAGTCAAGAATTTCAAGCAAGTGATAGACTGCGAATATTGACCATAGAAATCAGTGAACTTTATAAAATTAAAGTATGACATCTCAGTAAAAAGACTAATAGTTGCCGTGTTGAATTTGTTTATTGCTTAACTGCTTTAATTAACAAATGGGTGCAGATTCATTCGGTAGACACGGACCACACTTGATGACCATGAAAGCTTCTGATTGGCTGAAGCTTATTTTATGGGGGTAGGGTCAATTATTCGAATTATTACTTGAAGACTGAAGGCCTAGACCAGCACCATGCTCGTTTTAGACTACACAAATAAGTAGTTAATCATTTGTGAGTTGTCTTCTATGCAATACAACTTTATATACCTGCTAATATTTAGGATTCTAGGCAGCATCGTTTCAACTACAGGTGGTGGCGGCACAGACGAGGACATCAAAGCCAGGATGGGAAAAGCAAGCAGGACAGGCATTCATTAGCCTGAAACCAGTATGGAGATTGTCTGCAATCAGCATGTGGAACAAGATCTAGATTTTCAACACCATCGTCAAGTCAGTGCTCCTATGTGATGGTTCAGAGACTTGGCGCGTTACGAAAAGCACTCCCAACAACTGCCCCCTATGCTCACTCCATACTGAAGCTCAGATCACATGACCAGAATACTAAGAATAAGCAACAAGGAAGTCTGGCTGTCTGACAACGAACCAACCAAGAAGCTATTACCCAAGGAATATGCAGAAGAAGAGAGTGGGAGTGTAGAAGGATTGGGCATACACTGAGAAGACCATTAGAGGACATCAAGCGTCAGGCTAGACCCTTGATTTTAACCCAGATGGGGAATGACGAGTTGGGTGTCTGAGTTGAGGGTGACATGTAGGAGATGATGTGAGTAAGAAATGAGGAGTTGTGGGCAATGGTGGAGCCAGGATGAAAGAGAAGATTGAAGAAGAGAGAGTGGAATGGATGTGTGCTACTGAATCTCTATGTTCCACTAGGAATCCAAGGGATAATTAATAATAATAATAATATATATGAATCTTATCTGCTCAGAGGCTGATGTGTGTTACTGGGAGACTTAGAGATTATTCGCATGAATATGATCTCAGAAGAAAAGTTGTCTGATGAATTAAACGATAAACAAGTTCAAAGCCTCAAATCTCTATAATTTCACTTGCATCTTATAGAGATTTCTTGATATGAAGGTATTTTTTCACCTGGAATTGATATCAGCTGGAAAGTTATAGAAAATCTGAAAGCATTAGACAGCTACTTGTCTCAGCAATACTTCGAGACCAGATTTCATAGCGACTGCACTAATGTACAGTCATTAGCTTGCAACCCATTTTCATTAGTCAATGTTATCAGTGGGTATTCACCTTATTCACGACTCGATTAATCCTATGAGTCGAGTCTTTTGATTGTGAAACAGTTCGTTCCTTTTATGAATGCAGATAATATAATTAGTAGACAGAGTTTATCTAAATAGAAAATTTACTTGTCACATCAATTTATATAAAACCGACGAATGGGAGGAGCAGCAAGTAGAACAGTTAAGGTAATTAGGGACTACAGTTAAAAAAGGATGCGAACAAAAGGAGAAGTGACCTAGTTGATCTTAATCTTGGTGAGAAAACAAAGTTTACCAGGGTGGGTGTAGTGTAGAAACAAACACACAAAGGCGGTTCCAGTTTGCGTGTGTCTATCGCTTTCACAAATCTCAGTATCCGTCCTTGTTTGCCTTATCGATTGTGATAACACTGACCTTCTACGAAATGTTTCTACACTATTAATGATGGATAGTAGCTAGCAGTGGAATCCAACCTGCCCTTTCCTCCCTATTTGGGACTTGTCAGCTGGATATATTTGTCTCCCCACGAACAAAGTTATCCCCACCCGGACTCAAAACTAGGACCAATAGCTTTAAATGTCAGACAGTTATCCACTAGATCACCAATCAACTCGTTGGAGTGCAGGTACATCAAGCTAATCAGTGAATCCGAAATAGGACAAGACGCTTGTCCACAAATTCATTGATAGCCATCACCACCAAACAAATTACAAACTTTCTTCACTGTTTAATCCAGTAGGACATGGGTAATACCCAATTGATGACAGCGTACGTTGAGACACATAAGCACACACACATACACAAAGTAATAATATCATAGTCTGCTTTAGGTATATATTATCCTCATTAGTCACAATTTACTGAAATTCTATTGGTTAATCTGGCTAAACGCATTTATCTGTTGCCTGGTTGGCTAAAAGAATATTACCATTATTATTAACTATATTATTAAATAATTAATTGACCAGTGTTATTAGCTATTATCGTTCAACAAACTATTCAAACTAGGCAATAACAACACCTTGACCGCTAACAGTTGTATAGATTTTAGTCAGGATTATCGGATATATATTCATTTACAGGAATACGTACAAATATACACTAGACAGGGCTAAATTTAGTCATACTTGACTTTTGGGCGTCAACGTTTATTTATATCAGGTAAGAAGCATGTGCTTTTTGTTGTTGTTCTTTCATGGTTATGCAATCATCACCAGTGTGTGTGTGGGTCCCCTCTTTCCCTCAGTTTTCCACCTCTGTCACTTGGTGAAATAACCTGGTGGGATAAACGTTGATATTCGATAGACGTTGCGCTATATCACGTATTGACAGAAGTAGGGAATGTAAAGCACTGAATTTTGACCAAGTGCCTCTTTGGCAACATGTTCCCCGTGGAACTTGGAGGTCCTGGGTTCGATCTCTGAAGAAGTGTGGTCATAGGTGCGCACTACTGAGGAGTCTCATACTGGTATAAAACAGCTATCCAGTACTCCCCTAATTATGTCAGTCCATGGTGAGTACCGCAGTGGTATGTATGTTTTTTGAATCAACAGTGTGAAATTAAATTAAAAGGTTTATAAATGACTCATGATTATCGATCCATCTTGAAATACACCATAGTTACACATGTAACTGTTGTTCAATTCTGTAATTGAAATGTTATAGCCACTGAGACTGTTTTAATTTATGCGAACAATTTACAAGGTCAACTCAAAGTAAATGAGGAAGGTTGCAATAATCCGTTTAAACTAGAGGAATACTGTCAGCTTATTTTGCTTGTTGCAGTTATGCGTAGCCTGTTTACCTGTATATCATTAGCCTGATTTCGATTATCTAATCATTGGTTACTGAGGAGTAAGGCACATGTGGAAACAGTAGGCTGATTGATGTTCATAACTTCTGCTGAGATAAATAAAGAACAGATAAACAAACAAAGATTTCAGATAACCCATTTCTCTTTGTGTTGATTTCATTGTCAGTGCATTAGACAATCATATTCATGTTATGGATTGCTTAGTTGCTTGTAGTCACATGCATAATAAAACACAAAAATCGATTACGGTTCTACTCAAGTTAAAACATATTATCAATAAACTTGTACGATATTACATTACTGTAAATAATACTGAAATATGAGTAATCGTAGAGAAATATGTTGGGGAAAAAAATGAGCAGTAGTTTCATTTAAGGTCTCTTCATCAGTTGCAGAACAGCTTGAAAAAACGAGCTATTAGGTATGACATACTTTAGTTATTTAAGTTAGGAAAAAAATCTTAAAATATGCAGCCTACTTAAATAGTACAAAATGAGTAGTTTTTGAGTTTTTATGGGAATTTTAATTTTTAATGAAATTAGTCTAAGAGCACTGATTAACCGTTTTGTCCTCTTGTAATACTCTCAAAGACCTTGATGGATCAGTCGCACTGCATCATAAACTATGGACTATTGAACTATGACCGAGTAGCTGAATGGTCAATGCGTTCATTACGAGACCTTAAGGTCCTGAGTTCGATCCCTGGAGGAGTCATGATTGTTTGATACTGTGGAATTCTATATTGAAACAAAATAGAACTCTAGTGCTGCCAGATATTTAATCGATACTAACCAGTAAGACAAATATGTACACATCAATATGTATGTATGTAAACTTATATGTCTGGTGTTAGGTGGATTGTTGACCATGGCACTCATCTTCTAACCTAGGAAGTCGTCAAACAGTAGGTTTGGCTCATCATATACTACCGAGGATACTTTCTAGTTGTAATAAATCCCCTCTTAGCTTTGTTCTCTAACCACGTAGTTTTTATTTTTCCCAGCTTGTTTGGACAGATGTTTGCTTAAATCCGACTGGATGAAAGAAACTATAGGTTATCATTTTGACTATTTGAGATAGCAATTGTGGTTTGACAAACTTGTTTTAATACTGGATAATGAGTAAAGGTGAAACAAAAATTTGAGATCCAGTATGATTCAAATTTAGTTGACACTCGAATAGAACACTTAGTGATTGATTAAAGGCTGATGTAGCAAAATTTTTGTTCCACCTTCAATCGTCACCTAGTACTAAACCTGTGTGTGTTCTACGTTTCCAGACTATTTGATGCTTTCTCAATTCTGCTATCAGTTTTTTGTTATGATTACCTTTAAGGTTTAAAGATATTTATGCATAATATGAAGCCTCGACGTTGAAATATAATTCGTTTTGATCTGCAAACGTTTCCTTTGTTCAACACTTCCTTAATCAAAATCTTTTGTTTTTCCTAACTAACTTCCTTCTCTCACTAAAATCGGAGAGACTGAAATCAACAAAATACAATTTATGGTATCGTCTATATTGTCTAAGTCGTAACGTTTCACAACCACACATCGAGGGATGCGCTGAACTTAGAAAACAAACAGAAATGCTTATTCATAAAAAAGCTGTAGGAAAAACGAAAAAAGTACAACTGAAATTAGTTACTACAATAAATCAGATATGAATTCATCTGAAGCACTGAGGTCAAGTTTGAACCTTGTCACCTTGAGTCTTTGGCTATCATCCATTTAGACTGTTGTATACAACTCATGACATATCAGTCTCCTCATGTTTACAGATACGCGTTGTACACCAGTATCGATAGGCGCAAAACCTAAGTTGAACAGGTCTTTCACAATTTGACACCAATATATTCACCTGAATTCCATGTCTTAGGGTGTAAAGTCTTTTTTAGAAGATATGCTTTTTTAACTATTGTACAGTGCAAATACTGATCACATCATTATAAATATCATAAGACCATAAGCTTATCTGACTGTAGACCATTCACTTGAATCGTTTTTCTTTCAAAGGATGGTTTGATGTGTATTTATGCGAAGGTGGAGATATTATCACTTCATGAATTCCTATGTTTTTATATCGATAAGGAAGCATATGTGTGTCAAACAGCTTATTACTTCAAAGATTCTACTCAGTTCAGCAATCATATCATCAATAACAAGTCTTCAGAAACTATCAATGACTAATGATTCAAAAAGGTGATAATAATGGCTAGTGACTATCAGTAGAAACAAGTATATGCGTTTCATCCCAATTTAAGAATTATCAATTGGATGTATCTACTTCGCTAGTGGCATAAAATCTACGCTCTGGATTCCTCTGTCATCCATAATTAACATCAAAAGGCATTCAAACAAGAGCTAATATCCCAATTGATCTTTGGCTTATGCAACTTTCTAATGGAAGGCATTTAAAAGTAATCTCCAATAAAATTCTCCTAATAGGCATACTAATAATCAAAATGTCATAATCTGGGACAAAATGAATCATACTCTAGTTTTCTGTAAATAATCATATAACTACTAGTGAATTCTGTCTATTGTATTGTTGACTGAATTTTACCTTTTTGTATATATGATCATCAATCAATGTAGGATACTTTTATGACGTTTCAATTTTTATCTACGGATCATTTGTTGCTCTTAACTAGATCAAATAGTACCATGTGATATCAATTTGTAAATGTAAGGAAAGTAATCTTTTCAATTGTTTGTAGGTAAACTATGTTTAGGATCAGAAAAGGAAAGATTAGTGTGTTAATTTATTAGTCAAGATAGAGAGCAATTTTATATTTCTAAATGTATACAAATTATTAAGGTTAATTTAGAGTTAAGTGTTTATCTGAATAAAAATTTATAATTTATATTTTCCTTGATAAACACTTCACCTGAAAAACTCACTCATATTTATGGGTATGGGTCATCGTAAGAACATGATTAGAGTGTTTATCGGTGTGAACGATGAACCAGTCGATAACAATTTCAAGTATCAATCTAACTTTAAAGAGATTTCTTCGGCCAGGTAGTAAAGTAGTAGTCATGAGAATAAGGTGACTTCAGGATTATTATTTATACTTATTATTTATCCTTTGAGTTCTTTGTGGAATATAGGTCTTCAGTAGCGCATCGCCATTTCACTCTCTTCTCTACAGTCTTCTGTTTCAATCAGGCTCCACCATTACCCACAAGCTTTCATTTCTTCTTCACACCATCTCCTGCATGTCACTCTCGCCTCAGACGTCCAACTGTTCGTCTGTCATTTCGGTTCTACTCAAGGGCCAGACACGTGGTGTCCTCAAACGGTATTCTCAGTGTATGTCAAATCCAATCCATCTCCACTTTCTTCTGCCATTTGATCTTCAGTACTAAGTGAGCGTGGGTGGCAGATGCTCATGTATGTCTGCAGTTTGTTAGAAATGCTTCTCGTAAGGCGCCAAGTCTTTGAACCATTGCATAGGAGCACTGACTTGACTGAATTGGTGTTGAAAATAAGGATCTCGTTCTTTATACTGAGTGCAGTGCAGTAGATTTCCACACTGATTTCAGATTAATGAAGGCCTGTCTTACCGTCTTTCCAATGCTGGCTTTGATATCCTGGTGTGTACTACCGCCTATAGTTGAGACGATGCTGTCTAGACAGGTAGGTGACAGAGACAAGTTGATTCAGATTTCTCCGGCTAATGATGATTGGTGCTCGTTGTTGTTGTTGGTGGTGGCTGTGGTGGTTGGGTATCTTCATTACCTCTATCTTCTCTACGTTCACCTGGAGGAAGTCCCGTCTTCGTCGCCCTGCCTTGACTCTTCTGCTAGTTTTAGCCTGTAGATCTTCGAGGTTGTGCTACAAGACATTAGACACAAATCATCATAGTTGATGAAATCCAAATCTTCTTCTAGGGTCTATTCATCAGTCAAACAGCGTACGACCATCTTCTCGCTCCTCGCAGTTTATTGCATGATCCAGTCCAGTTCAGTCAACCACAGTGAGGAAGAGACATCTCTGAGCTTTCCATTGTCAATCACTTAGCATGTAGCATCATATGGCATATAGCTGTTGAATGATGATAAAGATTTGTGACACTAAAAGCGTGGTATTGAAGCAACTGTCAAATTACTTCTTGGTCGACGCTGTTAAGGGCCTTTCCAAAATCGATGAAGTTGAAGTAAAGAGTTGACTGCCATTTTTATGCTTTGTTCTATGATGATGCGTAGCGTAGCGTTGAAATTTGATCTGGATATGATTTGTTCTTCCTAAAGACAGCCAGCCACCCTGTTCCGGTAGTAATTTTGAATCCCGGATGATGCAGCTCAATATTTGCTTTGGGTGCACAGGAGTATCGACGAAAGCA